GGAGATTTGGGAAACAATCAGCAGGCTTCAGGCAACAGTATAGTAAACATGAGTGACAGGAATTGTTAAAAACAATTTCTTTAGTAAAGAAATAGTAAAGAAGAAATAGTTTTAACAAGAAAAGGAATGTAACAAAACTTTGTACTGGGATGTGTTTATGCCACAAGCAGTAAAAAAAGAAGAGATAGTGAGGCGCCTCACACATCCCCAGTCACGTGTTGCCAGTAAGGCTGCCTGCAATCCCAGCAGGAAGTTCTAGTTTGCCAAGAATGTCTGAGACTTGGGTTCCTCTGGCATCTGGTTCAGGGGGCAAATGTCTCCACACAGTTACAAAAATAAAGCTGTGTTTAAAAATTTTAATACATATTCTTCTCTGTCCTTTTTTAACTGCTTACTTCATAGGTTGTTTGCTCATTTTGTGTTCTGTGATTTGATATTTCTTTCCATTGCAGGACAGAGTACAAGCTAACACCCAGTAGTTCACAATGAATGCTCTTGTCTCTAATTTCAGCTGCCACTGGAATGTTATTCTCACCAAACTTATGGGTGACTTTCCTCATCTGAAATTCTTTGTAACTGGTAATTCTAACTGGTCTAAGGTATTTATTGATTTGGTTTGCAGTTGATATTTTACATGAATTACCTTGAAGAAAAATGCAGATTCAGTAGATTCTGGTGTAATGCATTAAAACTGTTTTTTTTTTTTAAAGGTTTATTTGTTTTAAATGCAGAATTGCAGAGACACACACTGAGATGATCTTCCATCAGGTTGTTCACACCCCAAATGACTGCACTGGCTGAGGCTGAGTCAGGCTGAAGCCAGGCATCTAGAACTGTCTCCCTGTTTCTCATGTGGACACAGGGGCTGAAGCACTTGGGTCATCTTCCACTGCTTTCCCAGGCACATCATCAGGAAGTTGTATCAGAAGTGGAGTAGCCAGGACTCAAACTGGCAGCATATGGAACTCAAACATTATAACCACAGCTTAATCCACTATGCCACAATACTAGCCCCCTGGATTTAATTTCTTATTTCAGATATAAGATATATAAGCTTTATTCTATGTTGTTGCATAGCAAATCACCCCAAAACTCAGTAGTTTTAACAATAGTCATTTATTAACAGCTCACTATTACTGTCCCTGGCCTTGGAGGTGACTGATTTGTGTTGGTGTCGAGTGAATGGTTCTACCAGTTTCAGTGAGATTTACTGTACCTCTAGAGCCACCTGAGAGTTGCCTGATCTTGGCTAACCTCACCTGAGGCTGGTTCTGCCCTGAGGCTTTCACTGTTCTGGGACCAGTAGCTGTTCCTGGTACCTCCTCCTCCTGGTGATGGCAAAGTGCATTTCAAGACTATACTGTGCAAGAGGCTAGCATGTCATTAACTAAATCAAGTCCCATAACCAACCGGCTTGGATTGGATTAGCTCACAGTGGGAGGACGTTGAAAAATTAAAGATGGCAATGGAAGGAGAGTGGGGACTGTTAGCCAATAATAGAAGTTGTTTACAAAAGATACCTGTTTATTCTTGTTCAAGGGCCTCTAGATGGGATTCTTGAATCATCCAAACTTCTGTAACAGCTGCCATTCTGAGGTTAAAAATAGAGCAGGCAGAAGTGGGCATGTCCAGCCTGATCATTTAAGGGACAAAAGTTTCCTAGTATATGAAATTTGGAAATATTGTAACATGGAAAACAAAAAAATGCCACCCATCTTCTGAATTATTGCTCTGAACTGTGTTTACTGTCTTAGTATATTTGATTTGCCTCATTTTTATTCCTTTCCTCATTAGAAGCATATTATTATGTGCAAAATTTTTTCCCAACCTTCTATCAGCAACTTGTCCTTTGCTTCTAAAAGAGCCTCATAAATGTAATGCTAGCGTTTGTGTAGGTATTCCATGATATGGAGTGACCATGGTTCACTTAACCTTTGCTGTTCTCCGTGATGTTTTGGTTCTTACCAGTGTTGTGTGATTGTGCATAATGCCTGAGTGAGCATGTTTGTACATCCATCTTTGTCCGTGTGTTGTCTTGTTTCCTTAATGGAAGGGATCCAGGGGTCTGGGTCCGTCCCTCATCTCCCAAATGATGTCATTGCACCTGAAGGCATGAAACTTTCTCACTCTAGAACATTCTTCAAAATGAAGTGCTCAGTAGCTGTTCTTGGGAGTGGGAGCATGAGGACTACGCCCATTGTTTAGCCTTGGAAACGCTCAGGGGTTGGAGAGAGACAGCTTCCTTGGGCTTCTCACCGGAGAGTATAATTGCCTTTGAAAGAGGAAGTGCCTTTTGCAGTTCGGTTAGCATCCCTAGGCCTGTGGCCAGCATTTCCTGAGGCCTCTGCGATCATACTTAACACACACTAAGTAGAGCGATAGGACTGTGAGTAAAGAACCATAAGCCATCCTGACTCTATTGTGTGTGTGCCCTGCTCTTTGCGAATGCTTTACTCAACTGGAAGAACTGCTTCCATAACCTGCCTTCATTCTGGTTTTATACTCTCGTATTTACTTTAATGCAGTGTCTGCTTGTGAATGCAACTTCTTCCATTGCTGTACCATTGGGCGTCTGGTCTTTTCCCACAATGTCCTGGTGATTCGGGCTCACGTTTTTCCTTGGGGATGCTTCCTTGCTGTTTGTGGCTGTGCACCTTTTTCTTCTTGCCACCCCTCTTCCAGCCTCTAAGGGTGGATATGGCTTCATTTGTACAAGCTTTTTTCTTTAAAAAAAAAAGAGATGCATTTATTATTATTGGAAAGGACAGAGAGAAGGAAAGACAGACCCATCCACTGGTCCACTCCTCAAATAGCCTCATTTTCTGCAGCTGAGCTAATCTGAAGCCGGGAGCCAGGAGTCAGGAGCTCTCTCCTCTGAATTTCCTATGTAGGCACAGGAGCTCAAGGACTTGGGCCATCCTCAACTCCTCCCCCGGCCATAAGCAGTGAGCTGCAGTGGGATGCAGAGAAGCCAGGACACAAAGTGCCACCCATGTGAGATGCCAGTGCTTGCACGTGGAGGATTGGCCTATTGAGCTACCATGCCAGTCCCAGTTTATGCAAGCTTTAAGCACTGACATCACAAAGCAGAGGTGTGAAGAACATCTCATTATGAGTTGAAGAAAACATGATCTTTCTGACCTGCTGCCCTTCCATGCTGTATCCTGAGGGTGTCTTCCTTGCTCCCAACCATCTTCCTGTCCCTACACTTCTTGTGGATGAGGCAGTAGAATCTTTCTTGACTCCCAGAAAGCTGAGCCGGGCACCCGTGTGGCCGCTGGAATTGTGTCGAGTACAGTGTGGTCTCCCTCCTCTGGCTACCATCATAAGGCCTTTAGTTTCCTCCCTCCCCCCTGGGCCAGGAGATTGCCAACACCCTGTGAGTGATGGAAATGACACGAGAGCAAGACACCTTGAGCCAACAGAAGTACTGAGCATCTCTGTGTTAGCTCAGCACATCAGCTGGGACTAGGATAATGAATACGAGCGCTGACATATTGGAGTGAGGCAAAAGATTTTTTCCATTTGTGAGTGTGAGCCTACCTTTGTGTCTGAAAGATGCTTCATACAGTATTAACAAGCACGAACCTCAGCATTGAGCTTCTGTTGTCATCCTTTCCAGTAATGCTCCCAGTTCTCAGTGATTTTCAGGTACTTTTCCTGAAAGCAGGTGTCAAGTTCTTGAATGTGAAATAGTTTCATAATATGAATGACATGGCTCTCCTGAGAAACAATGGGTCACCAAGCAGGATAAGGGATGTGTTCCACGTTTTTTATAAGCCAGATGGATGTGTCTCTGACTGGTTTTAGACTCATTTTTGCTAATACTGTCAGGTAAGGCATGTGGATTTATAGGCCTCTGGATTCAGTCTTCTGTTCCACACCTCCTCCCAATGCATTGGACTTCTTTTCTGCATGCCTGCCTGCTTCTACAGGGCTGGCTGAAGCACTACTTTTGAGTCTTTGAGAAAAAGTACACCATGTATGTTCAGTAAAGGAGGTGCCTTGGCTACTCCCTCCATCCTCTGCTCGTCCTCTGGCCTCAGGCCTTAAGAAAACCCTGAGAGCTGATAGCAAGACAAGACTCAGATTGGCTAAGTCCTATTGACCAGTCCTTTTGCCCAGATGAGCTTTTTGGCAAATGTTACATGTTTACTGTGAACTTGGAAGTTTCCCAAAGCGCCAAACCAAGTTTCTGAAAGTCTACATGAGTTGAAGGTTGGATGCTATCACAAGGAATAAAAGAGGACAGAAAACGGAAGTGAGAAGCTAAAACAAGATAACCAATCACTGTCAATGAAGGAGAAAAAGGCCTGCTAGCTATTGTCTCCTATCCTTGGTCCTAAGTCTTTGTAGTCAACCATTTGTTTCTTTCTCCTCAAAGGGCTGGGCCAGGTGGAAGTCAGGAACTTCATCTTGATTTCTTATGGGAGGGGTGAGAGGCTCAAACACTTGGGCCAGTTTCTGCATTCTCAGGAACATTAGCATGGAGCTGGATTAGGAAGCAGAGCATCCGAGACTCAAACTGATGCCATGATGGATTTCTAGTGTTCCAGGCAGCAGCTTAGCCTGTTGTGCTACAACACCGGCCCCTCTTTTATATTTAAACAAGCTTATTTGTTTAATTTTGAATAGATAGCACATTTCCCTTGGTTTGTAAATTGTCACAGATTGGAAATTTCTACTTCCCTCATATTCTGTGTATGTCGTCTCCATCCTGCCTGTCTGACCCAGGAAGTCACATTTCTTTCTTTAGAATGGTGATCCTTACGGAGTTTCTCTACATGCACTCCCCTGCAGTTGAATACAAGTGTAGATTTTATTTTACCATTCACTTCTTTGTGCAATTATCTCCACTCTCATATTTCACTTTATTTCATTTTGTTCTACTCTCAGTAATTCTTGGGTGGAACTTTGTTCAGGGGGAAAGGCAGTGTCATTTTACATATGCCCGAAATCCTGCACAAATTCACGTGTGTGTTTGTCGTTCTCCCCCGCAGAGGAAGTGGAGAGTGAGAAATGGTACCTTTCTGCCGACTTTCCTTCAGCAACCATCAAGACAGAGCCGATCACAGACGAGCCAGCCCCAGGACTTGTCCCGTCTGTCACTCTGACCATCACAACCATCTCTACACCTTATGAAAAGGAAGAACCCTCACTGGAAGTACATACTGGGGTACGCTCAGCTTTCTCTTTTATGAATAGGTGAACAAGAATGTGTTGCTCTCCAGGAAGGAGTTTAGTATTTTTGGAGATGGTGGCTGCGCGTGTTTGAGATGACTGTATTTTGTATTTGTGTGTGTGGATCTCAAGGACATGTGTTGGTGTTAGGCATTGACTCTATTACTTTCTTTAAAACTGTTGTCCAGAAAGTTTGGGAGCAAAATTTATTTCATTTTTTTATTACTATTATAAAGTTTTAAGATATATAGTATATCCATAGCGGAAGAATTTTTCAATGGCATTGATCTTTAAAGATTTTTTTTAAATTGTTGCTTATTTGAGAGGTAAAGAAAGAAGGGGACTGGGAGTGAGCTCCCTGATGGTTTACACCCAAATGCCCCGATAGCTGGGATTGGACTGGGTCTATGCCAGGAGCTGGAAACTCATCTAGGTCCTCCATATGGTGGCAGAAACCCAATTAACTGAGGAATCACTACTGCCTCCCAGGGTTTGGGTGAGCTGGAAGCTAGAGTCAGGAGCTGGTACTGGGTGTCAAAACTTAGGTACTCCAGAATGGGACTTAACTGTATCTTAACCACCAGGCTAAGTACAATCAATGATGACATTGACGTTTAAGCCCATAGAAAGGAAGTGGTGCAGTAATGATACAATCCACACCTTCTGGGACCATGGCTTTTAGGAATACTAGTTCATGTATGTGTAATCTTTTACTTTCATTGAGCAAAACTGAGTTGTCTTGCACATTTCAGAAATCTCCTATGGGCTTTGGTGGATGTGGCTCTTGTGGCCTGGCCATGCTTGGGTGTTGCATCTAAGATTTGGCGGGAGAAGCATAAATGTCGTTTCTGGGGGGAAATTATCTACTAGTGTTTCTTACTGTGTTGCATATGGGAAACATTAAAAATTACAAACTTCCTTTGGGTTTCAAGCCTGGGGTGAGTAGAATTTGATCCTATTCCCCCTTAGCTAGGCATATTTCCAAAGTATAGCAATGGATCAAAATCGTACTGATATATCTTTACATAGATATTGAAAGTCAGACCTAACTTTCTTAGAACTCAAAATACCAGGGTGTGAGTCATGACTCCATTATTATTATTTTTTAATCAGATCTCTGAGGAGCAAATTAGAGAGTGTGTGTGTCCTGGAGAAGGGCACACAGACTCGTTAGTGCCACAGACATGTCACTGCCTGCTGCCTTCTAGGTCCATGTGTAGAAGATGGAGGGCTGTAGGTGGAAGACCTCTGCTGCTGTCCTCATAAAGTTCTTTCTCGAAAGCTATCCCATAATAGGACTGGGATCCTGGTGCCTGTAGTCGTCTCCTTGTGCACTAAGACCTGAGTTCAGTTGACATCAAGAAGGCAACTGACACAGATTAGAGCCCTGGTCTGGCTCCTTGTGACGGGCCGGCTAAGCTTCATCCTCTGCCCTCTGCCTGCTGTGTGGTTATCAGAGCGCTGTCATCAGTCCTGTGGAAACCCGAAGCAAAGGTTGTCACTCAGTGTGCAAGAGTTCCTCCTGCAGGACAAACTGGTAGAGATGGAACCTTTTCAAAAATGTGTCAGAATGGTTCGTGGAAGAGTGCCTGTAGTGGACCGCAGAAACCCTAGAAAGAAGCACTGACAGCTGAGCCTTTCGAGTTCTGAGAGATCTGTGAGCAGTAGTGCCAGGCTTGATGATGACTGGAAGGTCAGGAACTGGTGTGGCTCCCTGGTGGAGGAGCAGTGCTCCAGACATGCAGGGCTGCCCAAGAGGAAGACCCTCTGGTCTGCTCCTTCAAGGCTGTGACCAGTTGTTAACAACTGTGTTTAAAATGTTCCTTCAGGTTGATTCCTCGTGCCAGATGATTATTCCTAAAATCAAGCTGGAGCCTCATGAAGTGGATCAGTTCCTCAACTTCTCTCCTAAAGAAGGTCTGTGTGTCTTCTGGCTTTTCTCTAGGCTGCTAGAAGTGGTTCCATTGTCTGAAGAGTGAGCGTGGCAGGATGGCAGGAGCACTGGGGTGTTTAGAAATAGCATGTGCAGCTGTTTTTATGAGATGGCTCTGTTCCAGGGTAGGAGTTTGGCGTAATGATTAACATTACACGTGGGACACCCACATCCAATATGAAATAACTGCTCTCCACTTCCCAGTTCCCAATTCCAATTTCCTGCACACGCTCAGAGGCAGCAGGCCATGGCTCAGGTAGTTGGGTGCCTGCTCCTCTATTTGAATTCTAGGATTCTGGCTTCAGCTTGGCCCAGACCTGACTGTTGCAAGCAAGTGGAGAATGAACCAGCAGGTGGGAGACTTCTCTCATCCTCTCTGTGTATCTCTGTGCCTTTCAAATCTAAGAAGCATTAAGGAAAAGGAATACATCTGTTTGTAAAAGTCTTGAATCCAGATAAACATTCTGAAATGTAAATATTGCTTTCTCAGAGATGTATACACCCATTTCCAGTTACACGGTGCTGCCCTTTTATTCCTAACCTGGAAGATTTTTCAAAAACTTAGATAGGCTGCTGTGACATGGATAGTGACCGCATACCTTCCTGGCCTGAGCCTGATACAGCGTTGCAAATATCCAAATCCACAAAGGCATCTTGTTTATTCAAAATCACTCTGGGCTTCAGTACCTTGTAAAAAGAATGTAGTTTGTCTTTATGGGTTATTCAGTGTTTTTTCAATGCTAACTTTGGATGGGCACCGTGGCAGGGGGTCTGGCAGGGGGTCCCCCCGTGTGGTCATGTTGATGGCTTCTAGTGATGCATCTGCTGGGATTCTCGTCATCATTTAGAAGTACATGATGTGCTGTCTGAAGTGGCTCCACGTTTTTCTTTCTCTGCATTAATTTCTCATGAACCTTTTCCCTCTTCGCTGAAGCTGTAGTTGGGTGTCTCGGACACAGACCTCTGAGCCTCCTGCGGCCCAGTGTGGCTCTCTCTACGTCGTGTGCACTGACATTGCTGCACACATCCTGCTTTTTCTGAGTTTGGGGTCTGTGGTCCTGCTGTCGGCTCCCTTTTGTTTATACTTGAATCCAGATTTGGGAATACAGATCATTAGTGAGGTTTAGTAGACGCAGTTGTCATAGAAAAGCTCTGTGTCAAAGTAATAAATGTGTGACGGGTACACATTTTATTAATTCAGAGTTTGAATTATGCCTGTTCAGTTGGGCTGGCCCTTTATTATCAATAAAGAAAGAAAAGAATTTTAAAAATTAATAATATTTATCAAAATCCATATTGTGATGCTGTGTCTTGGCATTAAATTATATACATTGATGCCTTTCCATTTCTTAAAAGGAAAATTGTACTGTTTTCATCTGTTTGAAAGGCCTAGTGACACAGAGAGAGAGAGAGAGAAACAGAGACCTTCCATACACTTGTTTACCCGGCAGATGTGTTCTAGGAACCCAGAACTCTTTCCCGGTGTCATCAAGCACGTGAGCCAATGAATGCTGCTTTGCAGGCTGCCCTAGCAGCAAGCTGAATAAGAAGTAGAGACAACAGTGGGTTGGCATTGCGGTGCAGTGGCTGCAAGACTGGCATACCATATGTGTTCTGGTTTAAGTCCCGGCAGCTTCTCTTCCAATCTGGCTCCTTACTAACACACCTGGTAAAGCAGCAGAAGATAGCCCAAGTACTTGGGTCTCTGCCAGCCTGTGGGAGCCAAGGTGAAGTTCCAGGCTCCCAGTTTTGGCCTGGCCTAGCACTGGCCATTGTGGCCACATGGAGAGTGGACCAATGGATGTGGGACTTCTCTCTGTCTCTCTTTCTTCCAGCTCTCCACAGCTTTGCCTATCAAATAAATAAATAAACCTTAAGAAAGAAAGAAGTAGCCAGCATGGTGATGTGAGTTATGAATGCAACAAGCAGCAGCTTAACCCATAGCCCTTGTTCACTTTTAGCTTTATATGCTGCTTTGACAGTTTTTATGGCACTGGTTATTATTATCAGATGTACCGTGCTCTTTTCATCTGTGTTGCAGTATGGTTCACAAGGCATCAGAACTGCCTCAGTGTCTCATAGTGGCTTAAGAATCTGGGGTCACGGGAGGAGAAATGTTCCGAGAATCAAGTAAATGACTGTCCTTTCTCTTTATCCTGGATGCGCAGAGATAAAGAAACCCAATATGCCCAAACACACCAGGGTTTCTAGGCAAAGTGGCCTGCTGTCCTCAGCTCTTGCAGTAACTTAGGAGGAGCACTTCAAATGATGCTTGGAAATCTGATACTGACCTACTAGTAGCTCTCCCTAGGTAGGAGAGATAAAATTCAAGTTAGTTTCACTCACTTTTTGTGTAATCCATTTTTCTTTCTTTTTTGGATCGGGTATCCTGTCCTTATAATGAAGACATGAAAAGGTAGTTTAGGAAAAATGAAATTAAAAGATGTTTATGTAGTGTGAAAAAAATAGAAATTTCTTCACTATATTCCTTTTCCAAGAGTTTGTTGAATACCCTTTGCTTGTACCAGAATGAGCTTATCTTTTAATTTCCTTTTTATTAATGTTTTAATTTTAATTTTTACTCTTTATATTACTTGGAAATCAGAGTTATATAGAGAAAAGGAGAAACACAGACACAGAGAGATCTTCCATTCACTGTTTCACTCCCCAAGCAGCCACAGTAGTTAGAACTGAGCTGATCTGAAGCCAGGAACCAAAAGCTTCTTCTGGGTCTCCCACATGGTTTTAGGGGTCCAAGGACCTGGGCCATCCTCTGCTGCTTTCCCAAGCCACAAGCTGGGAGCTGGATCAGAAGTGGAGGAGCTGGGACACCAGCTGGTGCCCACATGGGATGCTGGCATTTCAGGTAGAAGATTATAATGATATACCACCATGCCAGCCCCTCCATTAACTTTTGAACAGCCCTTGCATAGAATAATCTGACCTCTGCCAACTGAAAGGGACAAGGGAGCTGTAGGTACAATTTCTAAGTTTGGGGGAATGTAATGGTACATGCTAATAGGAGTCCAGATTGGTTTCTGAGATTTTATTTTTTTGTACGTTTTTTGTGTGTTTGAAAACCAGATACGTGTGTGTGTGTGTGTGTGTGTGTGTGTGTGTGTGTGTGTGTAAGATAGAGGGCTGGAGGAAGAAGACTCTCATCCCAAGAAGACTCTCATCCCAAATGTCCAGTGTGGCAGGACTGGCCCAGGTCCAAGCCCAGAGTCAAGGGTACAATCCAGGTCTCCCACGTGGGCGTCAGGAACCCAGTGATTCATCCAACACTGCTGTCTTCCAAGAGTCTACGCTTGTGGAAAACTTGGGTCTGGAGCCAGAGCCAGCCTTCTGGGATGATAACTAAACACACTTTTTTTTTAAAGTCATAATGTCGTGGTATTCATGACACAGGAAAAAGCTTGACTAGCATTCATAAACCTCCTACTTTGTACCTAAGCACATGCATATGTAAGGCACATACTAAACGTGGCTTAGCCACCTTCAGCTGGCTGGTGACAGGGTTGGTGTGAAAATACAGGATCATTTTAGAATAAATATTCTCCCTTTAAGAATATTTGTGGATATTCCATTAACCAGGAAAGACACTGGCTGGGCGAGATGGGAGACGGGAAGCAACTAGAGAAATGTAGTATGTTGGAAAAACAGAGAGAGAAGAGTTAGAGGAGTATGAGGACGGAAGAGAAGCAGAGTATGTGCAGGGGAGGGGTTCTACGAGGAGCAGCTGAGAGGGCCATTACTTCCTGAGACCTTGGATATTCAGGGGTCACAGTGCAAAAGAGAGCCGCGCTGTTGTTGACTGGAATCTCCAAGGGCTGCTGGGGATTCTGGGGGTGCCCTTATCTGCCTTAGGTCATTAACCATCTCAGATTGTTTCTCCCCATCGGTAGTACCTTGGGCAGTGCCCATTGGAACAAGGGATTAGGAGATGAAGTGCTGAGTTTTGACCATGACCTCAAGCCGGCCTCTGGTTTCATCAACCCAGATAACTATAAAGCAGCCAGGCGCTGTGCCCAGTTCAGAGCAGCTACACTGAGGGCTCTATTGTCTGGGGGCTCCCGGAAGGGTTTGTGTTGCAGGACTTCCCCCAGGTTATCTCCCTTGGCTCAGGAACAGGGGCCTGCTCAACAGAGGAACCCACTGTTCACAAAAAGCTGGGGTAAGACCCAAAAGTGCTTTCATTCAGCCTGAACCCAGATTGGGTTCTTCCTTCAGAGGCCCCTTGCTGAGGCCCTAGAGCTGCCTGCTTGATGCCCAGTGGTGCTCCTGGGACCCTGGCACAGGGCAGGGGGGGCATTCAGGAAGGCTCCTCTGCACTCCCATTTCTCCTGCGCCTACTCATCTCTCTTAAGATGGATTTAGTATCTTCTGAATGAAGAATGCTTGGCCTGTTGCCTGTAGGCCCTACCATGCACATTCCTCCAGAAACAAATGAGCCTTCCCTAGCAGCGATTGGCAACCCTCACGGGCTGCTGGGTTTTGCTGTGTCTTAAGAGATTTTACATTAAAGCACACAACACATTAGCATGGTTTATGAGTTAAACTACATAAACTATTCTCTAAAAAGATTCATTGAAAGTCTTACTAACTGCTGTCATCTCTTCTAAAAATGTCTCTCTGTTTACCCTGAGTCATTCTTTGCATGATTTCTTGTATACACTTTTGTGTTCTCTCTGTTTATCTCGTAAAGATTTTTTTTTTCTTGGAAAAGCCGAGTTACAGCTTGCTAGACGGAGAGATTGAGAGGTCTTCCATCCGCTGGTTTATTCCTCAAATGGCCACAATGGCCAGGCTGGGCCAAGCCATAGCCAAGAGTAAGGAGCCACAAGAATCTTTTGCCTCTCCCATGTAGATGCAGGGGTCCAGGCACCAGAGCCACCCTCTGCTGTTGTCTCAGACATATTGGTAAAGAGCTGGATCAGAAGTGGAGCCGCTGGGACTCAAACCAGCATCCAGATGTTCCATGTGTCTTTATGCTAATGCAAGAAAATGTGGTTCTATAGTTTCTCTCCTTTTTCATACAAAAGGAGCACTAGTCTGTACTGTACTCTGCACCTGGCCTCCGCTCCCCTCCCCGGCTCAACAATCTCGGAGCTTCGGAGTCCTCATTCTGTTGTTCAGCTGTCCCAAATTCCCTAAGGGCGTGGCTCTGTTCAGTTGGACCATCTCTTGGCCCCAGTCTTGCTGCCCTGTGATGGATGGAATCTGCTTCTTGTCTCTAGCTTCTGTGGACCACCTGCACTTACCACCAACCCCTCCCAGCAGTCACAGCAGTGACTCAGAGGGCAGCCTGAGCCCCAACCCACGCCTACATCCCTTCAGCTTGCCTCAGACACACAGCCCTGCCAGATCCGTGCCCCGGACCCCTTCTGCCCTCTCCACTTCTCCTCTCCTCACAGCTCCACACGTAAGTATCCGATGGCCATCTCTGAGCAGTCACGCCCATGAGTCTTTTGGTTTGGTTTTATTCCAGGGAAGAAGTTTCTGTTTCATGACCAAATGACTTGGCCCTTTTTGTGTTGTTGTAACAGAACACACGAGACTCGGAAAGTTGCAGAGAAAAGAGGGTTTTGTTGGTTCTCAGTGGGAGCTGTATGTTGTGCTTTGCATGTCAGAAAAAAACTAAAGGGGAAGCAGGCATGGGTGGAAGAAGCAAGAATAAGATGGGTGGACCAACCTGTTTTATAATAATTTATTATTTCCATAATTATCCACGCCTGTTGGACCAGCTCCCTCCATTTTCTAAGGGCCCATCTTCCAATACACTGCAACTGGGGACCAAGTCTTAATAGGAGTTTTTTTCTTTTTTATTCTTTAGTCAATAAGCACACACACATGTCTGTCCCATCTATTGGTACACTTTCCAGATGCCTCTGGTGTGCTGAGACTGAGTGGAGACAAAAGGCCAGAGCCTTAGCTCTCTTGTGGATAGCAGGAAACCAAGTACTTGAGTCATCAACACTGCCTTCCAGGGTCTTCCTTAGCAGCAAACTGGAAGTGGGAGGTGGAGGCAGGAATTGAACCCAGGCACTCCAGCATGGGATATGGAGATCTGCACCTGTAGGCCACATGCCTCCCCAGCGCATGAGTTTAGGAGTGGGCAGGGACAAATCATCTTCAAACAAGAGCACGACTGTAAGAGGGAGAGGTCAAGCCTGAAGCGCTACCATAGGTTCTAGCTTGCTTCCAGAATTCTCTTTTCCATGTTTACAGCTGCAGTGTTTATTCAATGCTCACGGAGTCCTAACCATAAGGAGTTTGGGTTTTTTTTTCTCCTCAAAATTATAACATGAATATTGGCTATCAATTTAGATCATCTTTAAGAGCTATCTTTAAGCTATCGTCTTAAAGAGTTATCGTCTTTAAGAGATACCACTTACAGTCTTGGATGAATTAGAAGTCCTCTCTGAGATTCAAATCTGTAGGACACTTGAACCCTGTTCTGTGTGTGGCACAAATCTTAGCCCGAGGACTCAAGTTCAGCATCATGGTCATCTGCCTTCCATCCATTGTCTAAATGTGGGGGGCGGGGGAAATAGGTACGACTAGCTTTTTTGATTCTGATGACTGAATTGATTTTTATGAAGATTCTAATCAATGTTATAAAGTATTGTGATCAGAATTTAAGTGTAAATGGAATACTTAAATAGATGACCCATCCATCAATTAACATAACTGGGAAATTTAGATTCATCCTCTCCCAGGCAGTTGTAAATCTGTATTCTCATGTATGTGTACATACATCATCCTCTTACCAACCTCTTCTTACCTTCTCAACTTGAACCTGACTTTTCCTTCCTGGGTGACTAGACTAGCTGTCCTCCTGTACGACTAGAATGGTCTGTTATGACCAGTCCGCCTCAGCAGTACATGGGAGCAATCCTGTCTTCTGTATTCTACCCTTGCCCAAAGTCATGTGTTTTCCTATAGAATTCAACACTTCATAGCTTCAGGAACTCTAGGCAGAGTGGTGTCTTAAGTTGTTTTTCAAAATACTTCTTTACACTTGGAATACACTCTTGTTTCTGTAATTCATTCCCTTTCTTTTTTAAAAAAAATACATAGAAATGTTCTCTTTCTCAAATGTTTAAGGCACCTGCAGTTACCGGTCCATTTTGCCATCCTTCCAGGGTATGAATTTGGCTACTGGAGGGTTGGTGAGAGCTGGAGTTTGTTTTGACTCCATGACTAAGCACATTGTTCTGTTAGGAGCTGCATGAGATGAGCCTCGCTGCTCATCCTGGGTACTGACGGACATCTGGGACTACTAAAACCAGAGACTTCCGTGCAAGGTGCCAGCAGGTGCTCTGGCGCTTAGCCGTGAGTGGCGTGAGAAGCGACACCTGGGGTGTCAAGCACATGACATAAAACTGGAGTTTCAGAAGGAGAACAACAGAACTCTGCCACAAAGCCAAGCTGCAAGTGCTTCGTTACTTTAAGGCCAGGAACTCTTGAGGGATGTGCAAAATGAATCCCACACTTTTTCTTTTAACCTGTTAACGAGGGGTACTTCCTGGGAAGCAGGGGGGGTGAGCCTTCTTTATCCTCTCCCTTGAGTTGTAACCCTGGTGCTTCAGGCGCCGCACCAGGCTGATTCCCCATCGCTGTTGCCCCTGGTGTTTCTCCCTCAAAGCGGACAGGAGTCCTTTTCTTTGTGCCGTGTGTGAGACTCGCGGCCCCATCGGGGATGGTTCTGCAGGTGCACAGGTGCGCTCCTTTCATTGTTTTCTGCCCCTTGGTCTGCACAGAAACTGCAAGGCTCGGGGCCCCTGGTCCTGACAGAAGAGGAGAAGAGGACCCTGATTGCAGAGGGCTATCCCATCCCCACCAAGCTGCCCCTGACAAAGTCAGAGGAGAAGGCCCTCAAGAAAATCCGCAGGAAAATCAAGAATAAGGTGAGTCCTCCGAGCGGAAGCCAGCAGCAGGCCCTCCCTGCCTTTGCCAAGAACCAGCTTCCACCTATCCCGTGGTGGGGAGCATGCCCTTCCGGCCCCCTTGGCCCAGCCCTCCTGCCACATCCCTGCCCTCCTTTAGCCCCTTCCATCCACGTTGGGCCACTGAACTCCTAAATGGCTGTGCCCACTGCTTTGCTGAGATAACCCATTCATCAAAGAGAAGTCATAATTGCCGTCGAATTTTAGTTCTCATCCTCTGGTTGCTAATATTCTCTTCTAGTGCATGTAGTTGTTACTTGTAGATAAAGATAAAAGTATCAGGAGTTTTTTTTTCTTTGAAAGCGGTCTGTGACCCACAGTTCTGTACAGTCTACTTGTCTGCAGCTGCTCTCGGCAGCCTCCGAATCCTAAAGCCGGGCAGGAGTTCACAGGCCACTGATGGCCCCGGGGCAACGCTGAGGTGCAGAAGGAGAGAAGAGGCAGACAGAGGAAGGTCCCAAGAGCTAAGCAACCGCATCCACAGGCAGGACTGGCAGGGAGTTCCCGCAAAACCCAACCCAGCTGGGTTATTGTAACTGGGCAACTGGACCAGCTGAAGTCGCTTATCTGAGACCATGACAATGGCTTAGGACGCATGAGCTTGTGCTGGCTCTAGCCTGCGCCCCCTTTCAGTGGGGAGAAGGGGAGCGCCTAATGGGTGGAGAAGAAAGCAGGGGAGATGACAGCAGATTAGCCCACAGGTGGAAGGTGATCACAGATTTGCAGACAACCTCCTGTCTTCCTCCCGCTCTTAGTTGCTTTTTGTACTCAGTTGGAAAGTAATCCTTTCTCCCACTTTCTTTCCTAGATTTCTGCCCAGGAAAGCAGGAGAAAGAAGAAAGAATACATGGACAGCCTGGAGAAAAAGTAAGTCGACCAGCGGATCCCTGAGCAAGAAAAGCGCTTGAATTTCTTGTCACCTGCAAAGATGATTGCGTTATCAGCTGGCTTTGCCTGCCACCTAGTGGCGGTTGGAAGAGAGCATTTGTAAGAAGAGTACCTTAAAGCTCTTTGACAATGAATTGACTTCATTTACTTGAAAAGCAGAGAGCCAGACAGATGAGATCTCGCTTTTGCTGGCTCCGTCCCTCACTTGCACTAAACTTCCTGGGCCTTGAAACCACCCTGATTCAAGCCAAGGGCCCGACACCCTTGGCGGCTCTGTTTCTACCCAGTGCCAATGTTAACTTTCTTACACTCTATTGAAATAGGTAAGTGTGAGAAAGGACAGATGGTACTTCCCCTCAGTGGCGTTACCGTGGGGACCTGTGCAGTGGCTCGTCAGGTTAATCCTCTGCCTGCAGCACCGTAGCCTGCATGGGCTCCAGTTTGTATCCCGGCTGCTCCCCTTCTGATGCCGCACCTTGCTTCTGGACTGGGCAAGCGGCATAGGACAGCCGTGGGACCTTGCACCTATGTGGTAGTGCCTGAAGAAGCTCCAGGTTTCTGGCTTCAGATCAGCTCAGCTCTGGCTGTTGCGTGCATTTGGGGAGTGGACTAGCAGATTGAAAAAAAATCTCTCTGTTTCTCCTTCTCTGTGTAAATCTGCCTTTCCAACAATAACTCTTTAAAAAAAAAAAAAAGCAAGCAGCGTTCTGGTTTCCCTGGTTCTCATTGAGCATGCTCCCTCACACTGTAGACAACGCATACAACATGACCTGAGTCGGCCTGGCGGCTCCTGCTTTGCTGTCCTCTAAGCCCATTCTGTAGGCACAGGATTCTTTTCAGAAATAGTGCAAGACACCTTTTGTTTTTCCAGAAAGTCCTGAATATCGGGAAGGTTGTTAAAAAATTTAAAAATGTATTTTTATCAGCCTTAGGAAACAGTTCTGCATCCGACAAGCTAATATCATTTTAAGATGAGAATGAGCCTGTGCAGACTCACAAATAATTCTTCCTGCATGTCTGGGAGAGAAGCGGTCAGTGCGACCTAATGGCTTCCTGTGGAAAGGTTGTGTTTCTCCCACCTGATTGAAACCCTGATACATGTATCACTGCTTATTCCTTCTGTTCCCCCACTGTCGGTGGATAAGCTGGATCAAGATATTCCTCTGTGGGGTTGGCATCATAGCACAGCAGGTAAAGCTACTGCTTTACAGTGCCAGCCTCACATACTGAAGCACCAGTTTGAATCCCACTATTTTGCTTCCCATCCAGGTTCCTGCTACTGTGCCATGGGAGGCAATGGGAGGTGTCCAATCTGCCCCATCACTCATGCGGAGCCGGAGTCCCTGGCTCTTGGCTTCTGCTTGCCCCAGACATGGTTCTTGCAGCCGTTTGGGAAATATACTAACAGATAGAAGATCTCTCTCTCTCTCTCTCTCTTCCGTCTCTCTCTCTTCTCTCTCTCTCGTTTTCCCTTTCAATAAATACATTTTTAAATGACTATTCCTGTTTCCTTGGGAGGATGTGTATTCCAGCAGCAGGGTTTTTGTCTGAGATCCTGAGAGCTTGTCTGGCCTCTCTTGCACATCGCCCAGGCCCCAAGATTTCTCATTAGTCTTTCTGGCCAGGAGAACATAGCATTGCAATGACTGCTGGGGCAGCAGAAGTGTGGCAGGCCTTGGGAATGGCACCAGGGGTTGGGGGAGGCGAGAGGTAGAGGAGCAGGTTGTAACACCCACAGGGATTTTGCCTCTGGTCTCACCCCTGCTCATCTTCTGTTACCTTGGTTCTTCCTGTCATTTTAGCTCCTGGTTCCTCATGCCAGCTCAGCCTGGTTAAGCTCAGACACTCCCCTCCCTGGTAGAGTGGGTCCCCTCCTTTTGTCCTGATCCCACATGCTTCTCTGCTAGCTCCTGGCTCAACTTTGGCTCTCCCAATGGTGACCACTTCGCTTCATTCTCTCTTTGGTAGAGTGGAATCTTGTTCAACCGAGAACCTGGAGCTTCGCAAGAAAGTGGAAGTCTTAGAGAACACCAACAGGTGAGTGTGGCTGAAAGAACAGCTGGAAGGGCTGCCTGCTGGGAGGTGAATGTGGAGGAGGAGGCAGAACCAAGATGACCAGAGAAGGAAGGAAAGTGGAGGAGATCACGCTCGGAGCTGTGGTTATGCCAGGATGCGTGGTCAGCTACATTCCACCTGCCACACACACACACACACACACACACACACACACACACACACACACACACACCCTTTATTTTAGAAAGGTTTGGTGGAGAGGTTGATCCTGACAATTATTATTAAAACAAAACAAAACAAAGAAAACAGAGGCTTGGAGGTGAATCAGGTCAATGAGTCATTTCCTCCTGAAATAATACCAAACTTTAGCTATGGATGAAGAGACACTGGCCTCGGCATGGTCACCTAATTTTGGTGATTGATTGAAAAAAGAAAATCATGTTTGTTTTTTTAAAGTGTAGTTTCTAAAATCGAGTTAATAAGCTCCATCTCAAAGCCACTTTGAAAAACCAACGGAGGAGTTTGGTTCTCATCCCTCCTGTACTCGCTGGGCTAGGGTGACCATCTGGCAGGGATTGGCTTGTCTGGCTCTTGGAGACATTGTTGGGGACACCCCCATTACCTAGAGGAGAATCATGAGGCTCAGGAGGGGTAGCTGACTTTGCCAGGGTCACCCAGGAAATGCTAGAGCTGCCTCTAAACCCAGGCTTTCTGGCCCTGCAGCTTCAAACTGGGAAGAGCATAAAGAGATCAGAAGCTGCGTCATACGCAGGCGGTTGAGGGGCGTGGGGAAGACAGTGGCTGGTGGAGAGCTGCTTCCTAAATAGGTGTGTCTGAGGGCGATCAAGGTGCACCCCAATGCTTGAAAAGGAAGGCAAACAGTCGTCTGGGGGTTCCTGTCCACACCCCCCCCCCCGGTCAGAAGCACGATAGATCAAGCTGAGGAAAAGTGGACTTTTGTCAGGAAGATACTAAGCTAGTAGCAGTTCTGCCAGTGTTGAAGGAGCAGGCTAAATCTCTCAGCGTTACATTGAGTTTGACTTGCAGCTCCTGCCTCTTCTTCATTTGCGATTCAAGCATCAGGCTCATATCCTCATCACTTCAAACTGCCATCAGTGGGAATCAGGGCAACCGGGCCCCCCAGGTTCCCTTCTGCATCTGTGGGGATGAGGGCTTGTGTGGGTCATTCAGGTAACCCACTCACCCACATCAAGCCCCCTGCTGGCACCCAGTCCCCAGCTGAACCTGACAACCACTGTTCTCTGCAACCTTTGCGGTCTGGCCCCTGATCCTTATTCAAGACACAGCCCAGTGAGCCCGTGGCTTCCTGACATCATGCTGTACCTCACCTGTGGGCCGGCAGCTGATACACAGCCTGCCTGCAGGGCCACCAGCGGCTGCCACTCACCTCTGAGACCTGCGTCTCCTGTAGGGTTTGCCCACCTGAGTCGGACCTCTCCCCGGGCTGTCCAGGCAGCTTCCATTCCCTGCCATTGTGGGCAGAGACCCCGTTTCTTCCTAGCTGGAAACTAGAAGCTGCCCTTTGCTCCTGGTGGCCACCTCAGATCTCCCATGTGGCCAGCAGAGCCCCCCCAAGGGGCTCGTCCAAGGCGGGTGGGGAGCTCCTTCCCATGCCGTGTCCCAGGGTGATGGCCTCAACCCTTGCCTGATCCTAGAACCAAGTCAGAGGTGTAGGGGGAGGGATGCCTGGGTGTCTGTCTCAGTTCCTGTCAAGTGTTCCGCCCACGAGGAGGAAGCACCACCAGCTCACTGAGGCATAACTCTGGCCTTCTGGGTCAGTACAGCTGCTTTGAAATGTCACCGCTCTGGTGTCACTGCTCACCTTTGACCATCCTTCTCCTGAGGCTGCATCTCCTCTTCGCTACCGCCAGGGGGAGGCTTCCTGGGCTTTCAGGCTGTCTGGATCCCATTCTCCCACCCAGCCTATAGCTGTCTCTCCTACGGACGTCCTAGGTTTATGAGTGGGTCATATCCTGGCCAAGAACTGGTGAAAAGCAAGGGAAATCTATCCAAAAAAATGTCCTTGGAATTTGTGTCCAATGTGGTCTCATCTGAGGATGCGAGTGTTATCCATAGCGTTGACCACACGGTGGAAGCAGAGGTGCAGTCGGGCTGTGCTTGAGCGAGAAGGCCTGCAGGCACCTGGCCCTGGGAAGTGCCTATCCTGGCTGGACTCTCATTTCTTCCCACGCTCACTTCCTTTTTTCCTCCTCTGAGTTTAAGTCAGATATTCAAATAAGATCCATAGATTCCAACTGGTTGATACTCCCCCTCTTTCTTATCTTTCTCAATATAGCTCCCCCCACCCCCATTTTGTTTTTGGGTTCTGCTGCTAATGCGATCTGCTTAGCAGCAAGTCCTAGCAGTGATGTCGACAGATTCATCCATTAAATGTCTGGCTATAGTTTCAGAAAATGAAATGCAATCGTTCCCTCTTTGGTTGTGAAGGTAGTATGTTTCTGAGGAAAGCAGGTGCATCGTAGGTCACGATGCAAGTGGATCTCCACAGATCTACATTTCGGAAATGAAATCCACAGATCTCATTTCCTCTGGGGACAAACCCTACAGAGGCACTGCTACATTATATGCTCATTCTATTTTTAGTTTTTTTGAGGAACCTCTGTGCCATTTTCCGAAATGACTGTGCCAAGTTACGCCTCTCCCAAATGTGGAGAAGGGTCCCCTTTTCCTCACACCCTCCTCAGCACGTGCTTTGTCGTGGCTGTGTGGCGGTCACCATCCTAACACTTGTAAGGTGAAATCCCTTTGGAATTTTATCCGTATTTCCCTGATGACTTGCGCGGTTCGGCAGCTTGTCCTGCACCCTCTGGTCATTGTCATGTCTGCTTTGGAGAAATATCCATTCAAGTATATTGCCCCTTTTTTAGTTAGTCTGTTTTTGGCTTTTGGGTGTGTTACCTCTTAGGTGTTTTGGAAAGCAACTACTTGTCAGATATATGATTTTGTTGTTGTTGTTGTTGTGATTGTGAGAACTGTTTAGGTTTATAGCCTCAGTGTGTTTAGCACATTTTTAAGCTTCAGTGAAGACTATGTATAATTTTTCCCACTTTGAAAATACAAAATGGTTTTTTGAAAGTCAAGATCTTTTCGTTCAGAGATCTTTACATTTCAAGCATGCTACATTTATGTACTTTTAGTGTATGTATTCCTTTGTTAAGAACTATTTCATTTCAGTAAAATATGCTGAGATACTTCCAAACCAGTAAACATGCTTCTACGGGATTCATATCTGAATCTCTGTTGAGAAAAATCTACTTCTTGCTGTCGGTGTCTGAAACCTTCCTTAGTGGGGTGTCGTTCCTGAAAGTGGCCAAGGGTCCCCAGTTGTGGCACAGAGGATCAGGCTGAAGCCTGTGACGTCTGCAATCCAAGCGAGCACTGAATCAAGTCTCAGCTGATCCACTTCCCATCTAACTCCCTGCTAACGTGTTGGGAAGGCAGCAGAAGATGGCCCGCGTGCTTGGGTTGCCGCCACCCACCTGGGAGACCAGCACTGGGAGCTCGTGGGAGCTGCATTGGCCTGGTCGATTCAGCAATTTAGGGAATGAACCAATAGAAGGTAGATCTTTTTTGTTCTCTCTCTCCCTCCCCCTGTGTGTGTGTCTGTCTCTCTAACTCTCTCTCCAATATTCATCTTCCAGTCTCTCTCTCTTTGCCCTCCTTACCTTCTCTTTCTGTCTCTCTCTTGCTCTCCAACTCTACTATTCAAAAAAGTACAATAAAATAATTACAGAACAAAATTTTTTTAATGTGACCAGGGCAGTGTAGGGCACCTATTAAACCAAGGGAATTGTTTGTTTTCTGCTTTATTGAGGTATAGTTGACAAATGAAATTGTTTTTAAACTGTCCAATGGCCAATTTACATGTATACATATGAAATGGTTATTAAAACCAAGTTAATGAATGTGTCCATCACCTCCATAAGAGACTGTTAAATTTAGGATAGGAACACTTAAGAGGTACTGTCTTACCAAGTTTCAAGTGTGTGAATACAGCATTAAAATCATCATGACCATCTTGGATTTGGGCTCCCAGAATTAACCGTCCTAACGGATGGTCTATAATCTTTGCCTAAAGTCTCCCCAGTTCCCCAAAATGAATACCCTGACAACTGCCCTTATTCTATCTTATTTCTATGAGTTCAAGTTTTAAAAGACATTTATTTAAAAGGCAGAGTAAGAGAGATAGAGGGAGAAACAGAGATCTTCCACGTGCTGATTCACTCCCCAAATGAACCAGGGCTAGACCAACCGGAAGCCAGCAGCCATGAACTCCATCTGGGTCTCCTATGTGGGTGGTAGGGGCCCAAACACTTAAACCACTGCCTGCTGCCATCCCAGGCACATGAGCTGGATTGGACACACAGCAACTGGGACTCACAAGCAGGAATTAACACATGCTACAACACTGGTCCATCAGCTTCTCAAAGTTCCACATGTATGGGCAGATGTTTGATTTAAAAGTGAAGACACCACTTCGCCTGGCTCCATCTCATATTGAAGTACCTTGGTTTGAGTCCCGGTTCTGCTGCTAGTTCGAGCTTCCTCCTGGTGTTCCCTCAGAGGCAGCAGGTACTTGCTCAAATAGCTATGTCCCAGAACCCATGGCACCTCTCTTGGCTTCTGCCTGGCCCAATCTCAGCAACTGTGAACATTTGGGATGTAAAGGCGGCAGATTTCTAGCTTTATTTCTCTCTGCCTGCTGATCAGTAAGTGAAAATGAAATGAAATCAACAGGTAGGTAGTGCTGCGCAGTATGTCTTCATGTGTCTGGATCCCGTATAAAGCGGGGAACATGTCAGCGGACGCCCTGCCTTCTGCTCTGCCCCGTGAGGACGGGGCCTCCAGCACGATTCTCGCAGCGTCTCGCTGCGTTCTCTTCCCTCTTCTCTTCAAAGCTTGCTTCTCCTAGTGGGCAACCTTTTTGTAGTGCTGATGACTGACATGGCTTCATCTGTAATCTTCCCACAAATGATCTA